CATTTAGGAAATGCAATGTTCTGGAATGTATAACATAACTGAGCATTCTAACGTCATGTATTTTGGTCTCATGGTGAAAATTTATCTTTCTGCTTGAGTAATGATGAAAACTCCTCCTTTTTCAAAAAAAAAATAGTCTATAATCATTTTTTTGAGTAATTTGGGATTCCAACATGCCACAACTTGGGGGTTCCCAAGAGTTTCAACATACTTTTTACTCCATCTTACTACTATGTTTACATTTTAGCCCTAATGGTTCTGGAATTTCATTCATTAAGCACATTATCAGGTGATGGTTGGGAAATGTCACCTGTCATCGAGGGACGTCTGTACAACTAGAAATAAGAGATAGAACATGCCCTATCCTGTAAATCTAGTATGAAGTTGTACGAATTCAAAAAATAGTAGCCTTCACACATTAAGATTTGCTTGTACATCTAATTTTTTAATTGGTGTTGTACTTTGAAATCCTACTGTATGTTGAGGCCTTAAGGTGGCACACCTCTAATTTGTACTATAAGGAACTGTAAAACTGACAAGGAAGCTGTTTTTAATTCCATAAAGAACACTGTCACCTGTGTGCAAATATTTTATTTATCAAATTTACCATACAGTTAGGACTAATTGACACTTTTCAGATTGTAAGCTTGGGTATAACTATTTGAAGGGCTCTTTTTCGGAAATAAGTTGTCTCTTAATAATCTGTAATATCATCAGTCTGAAAAATGTTTCCTACTGAATATTTTTTAAGGAACAAATTATAACATTCAGCAAACAAATCATGCAAATGACTTGTTTTAAACACTTGTTTGACCATTTTCCTGCTTAGAGAGCAGAATTTTTTTTAAAATCTCTTAAATTTTCTTTAATAAGGGCTGTTTTTAAAATTTACTAAAATTTTCTTTGAATTCTATTTGTTTATCTTGTAAAATATAAAACACTTTTCCTGTGTAATTTTGATTTTATTAGACTCTGAAAATATTTTTTTTTTATAAAATTTAGTACAGTGAAAGTTGAGAAAACCGGACGGCTTTCGGACCGAGGGTTTCGTCCGTTTTTTTCAAAAGTCCGGTATTCTAAATGTCCCCTACAGCTGTTCAGGATCCTATAAACCGAGCAATGACTTACAAAGGATGCTGAACGTATATTTGCATTGTCATGATAATGAGTAAGTATATTGCTAAATAAAGAAATGATAAAAATACTATACAATATTGTTTTTGTCCCATTATTGGATATAAATACAATAAAATTTTGGATTTAAACGAACAGCAGTTACCTCATAACGATAAAGTCCGATTAAACCCTCATATGTTTACAATTGGGTACTGGATAATGATTTAACAAACATAGTTAACTTTGTTTGTTTATAATAATGCCCCAATTGTAAATATTGCCTATACCATATTTGTCAGATGAAGATTTTTAAAGTAGGCCTCGGCAAGGTTTCATTGTCTTTAATTAATTTAAATTTGTCACTTATAGACAGCTCTCATCAAATTCTTTTAGGCCATGGAATATAACTTAGTGCTGATAAATGTCGTTTCTGTTGTGTTGTCATTTTGGGAAATGAATACTGTAAAACACTTATTTTTCGCGAGAACCTTATTTCGCGAATTTGAGGCAAATGTCCAAAATAATTATTTCGCGTCAACATGAATTGGCGTCTTCCCGAAAAATGTGCACACTGAGAGTCATTGGTCCAATGTTGATTCGATGGAGAGGTATTTATTACAAATTTCATTATTATTATACATTTTAAAACGAAGCAGATGACATCTTTAAAAGACGATAATTTCCCCAGCATGCAAAGTGTTACAGTTTCACTGATAAGCCATTCAAAGGCAAGCAGACGATTATGTTTACCCTCCGGCTTAAACTGTAGTACAATACAATAGGATACAATAAATAGAAATGTTACAAAGAACTCGCAGGTGCTAAAGTATTTGTACCAAATTGTTGGACAGATTTTCACATTAATTAGAACATTCTGTAGAAATACCATTAAAATTTTGTGATACGCATTAATTTGTTAATACTTAATTCTAGTGCAAGTCGCAGTTACCTTCCTTGACAATACCAAATTGTTATAGGTAAATATTTCATACTAGTAATCTGTACGACTTGAATCTGCAAAACTTGAATAGCTACTTGATGTTACTAGAACTGGTTTCGATCCTTTCTCGCAGATATATATCCATGTGTACGCATTTTCGGATAATGTTCATTTTCGGACAAGTGTATAGACAAAGTGAAATTTTCGCGAGAAATATGAATTCGCGTCTTAGAAAACTCGCGAATATTAGCGAAAATAAATTTCTCCCGAATAATACGTGTTTTACTGTATACAAAAAGCAACGCAATATAATAATACTCTATTTTTCATTCATACTGATTTTAACTTATCAATTCCTCATGCATTTTGACATTGATATAAAACGTTAACATCTATGCCTTACAATAAATCAAACTGTGAAAAGAGACATAATTAACAAACCAGACAATCATTGTTCCGTAACAGCTCAGTTAGCGTATAAGACACAACCACAAGGTTATTCAGACCTTCGTCGTCCGGTATTGTCAGGGTAATTGTCTATATAATTGACTTTGTAGTCTCCTATCAACCGTCCGATATTCGGTTTTTACAGATTCCGGTATTGTCAATGTTTAATACAATAGTTTAAAGAAGGGGAAATTTCGGACTGAATTATTCATCCAATATTTAGAGTGTTCCAATTTTCTCAGTGTCCGGTTTTTGCAAATTTCACTGTACAATGTATTACTTACCGGTAGCTACTAAATACCAATGATATTTATATCTTTATTTTTTTTTCCAAAACAGACCTGAGAATAACTTCTAGTCTATCTAAATACTGTTCAAGTCAGAGGCAATGTATTAGAAGTGTGGTACTGTAATTCAACTCCTTGAAAACAGGATTCTTCCTTTATATTTTGATTACTGTTTTCAATATCATTATGATCATCATCGTCGGATACCCACGGTCGAACCGTAAACATTTATCAGCCGTGGGATTTTCGCCAATATCCAGTCGATAAGCGGTGTGACAAAGACAGCTTTTTCATTTGTTGCCTCACGATTTCATGAGGCGATTAAAAGCAATCGAAACGCTCGTTCAATACGACGTTTGGTAAAACGTTAATTCTAGAAATTAATATTACTATTTTGCTCTCTGGTTGTGCAATAATTTAGTCCTGAAATAGTTTTGCCTTCTATATTGGCAAGTCACGTGAAACAGGTTTACACCGTGGGCGCTGCTATTTTGTTTGTATATCAACGCTATTTGATTCATTTTACCCACGGTTGATTACATGTTTTGTTACATGTTAATCAAACGTGGGTATCTGACGATGTATGATCATTCATTTTAATAAAATTCTACCTTATTATGATCATTTCACAGGTACATATTTTCATAGCATAAAAATGATATTTTGTTTAGTTCTGAATCTGTAGCAATACAATATAATTTGAGTATAAAATGTTCAATAAGAACCATTCATTGACACTACTTTCTGAAATTTATATACTATTTTAACAAGGTCACAATTGACCTTTTAAGTGTTATAGTAAGTTTTTATGATTAATCATTTCATGAACATATTCAAACCAAGCAGATCCAATTTCTTTGTGCTTTGTATTGTTCTTACAGGTACATAGACAGTTTGTGAACATTGATCTTAGTAAACCAACAAAAATATTTCAATTTGTATAAGTGTAGCCACACATATATTGTACCTTACAGAAAATTACAAATAGATCAAACAATACCTGAAAATGTTTTTGTTGTCATTTATGTGGAATTGTATCAGGAAATCAACACTGTACAATTATTAACTCTAGACTGAACCACTTTTATTCTGTCAGTAATTAGTGGTGGCATGGCTGAGTGGTTAACATGTCAGACATGTAATCTAAGGATTGCTGGCTGTGTGGATTTAAACCTCGTAACGGGGCAAGCCATTGTTTCTGTGAGCAAGAAAGTTTACACTGACATTGATAAGTACTGGTTGGTTCCAGGAACAGATTTGAGAGTGTTTCAATATGCTTATAGGAATGGATTCAAAAGTGTTTCAATAAGCTTATAGCCTCCAACACAATCAAACTAAAATAATTTGGTATAAACTAAACTGTCATAATAAATGACACTTGAAGTGATATCCTGTTGCAGAAATCAAAGATCTCAAGGACCAGCACTTTAATTGGGAGAATATGTGACCAGAGTCCAAGAAGAGCTACTAGTCCTCTGATTATATAGAATAAACTAATGGCAGTTCTGATAACCAAATGTTTAATATTAAAGTTACCTCATTCTGGACATCTATTATGTTAACTGGGGTTTCCCTAGAAATTTCGGACAATGGACCCACATGTCTGTGACTTTAAGAGTCCATTGATGTTTTGAAATTAGTCCCTATATCAAAACTTAATTTCAGCTACTTGAATTAATACAACTTGTCATGAACTGCTCATTATACTTTCAGGGAGTCCTTGGTATGCACTCCTGTTGAAAAATTGGAGTACAATGGCCAAAACCTGCATCAGGGATGGAGAAAACTTGCATAAGGGAAAACCTAGTGTTAGATCAAACATATTTAGATAAGCTTTATTGTAACGAGAGATTTAGGCATATTTGAACAATCTCATGTCCACTTCCTAGAACTAAGCAGTTCTGGTGTCATAAATGGAAACATAGCAGAGCTGTTTCCCTTCCATAGCAGGGGCCATTTATAGGCCTTTTTCTCTCAGAAAAACTTTTTAAATCATGCAGTTAACCTAAAACATTCAACTGAAAGTTTTTACTTCCCCTTTTGCAAAAGTACTTTGTTACTTTTGCCCAAAATCAAAAGGAGAGGGCCCCTTCCCCTACCTGTGAAAGAAAACCCTGTTTTTGGCCCAGCAGGCCACAAATCCACTGTCCATAGTATGAGACGCAAATATCTTTTCTACAGACCTTAACTCCCTAAGGACAAGTATTAGAGCTATTAAGTTAAAAAACTGTTAGCCAGAATAGATTAAATCACTTACTGTAATCCTGGAATGAGAATACATCTTTGGTTTATTCCTTATGTCATTCTTTATTCCGGCTGAAGTCTGGTGATAGAATATGAAAATCAAATTTGATATCAATGTTTTTTTCACAGTAAGTTAACAAAATTGCATTTTGCTAATAAAGCACATGCCTGGCACATTACTAGAGTTGCCACAGCATTGATGAATACCTGAACCTGACCTATATGGCACCGAATATAATGTATTGCAATTTTTTAAGAGAAAACATTTAAGTTAAGTTATTATAAAAAGTAATTTGAAAAGAATAGAATTTTTGTGCACACATTTAATTTTCTAATTTTGACTTTCAAAGACATTGGGCCTGCACAGTGACAGTGTGGGTTTTGCAAATTGCTTTGCTGAGATGCATGTTAGCCAAGTTTGAAGAAAATCCTTCATGGGGTATAGGATTTCCAGTGTATCTGATATTTGACCTTTGACCATCAAATGTGACCTTGACCTTAAGCATGCACACAGTGACATGGATTCTGATTATTTCCTTGTTGAGGTGACAAATTGCAATACTTTAGACTGCAACTTACATCAGTTATACCATGGGCAACTCTCAAATGCTTTGCAACAGCTGTATCTTTCTCTACCTGCAATATCAAATTAATAGCAAAATCTTACAAGATAAATATTCACTACTACCTTTGTAAATCGAATGTAGTATAAAAAGTTTAACTGTTATATCAAATCAATAGCAAAATCTTACAAGATAAATTTGTAAATTGAATGTAGTATAAAAAATTTAACTCTTATATCAAATCAATAGCAAATATCTTACAAGAAAATAAAAATTTATTACTAACCTATTTAATGTTAAACAGTTATATACATGTAGTATAAATCTAGATTGAATGACTTTACAGTAAATACAGAATTACCCTTTTCTATTATGCCTAAATCATCATATTCAAATAAGTATGCTTCACAAAAACAAAATCACAGAAACAATGATTAACAAATTTTTTGTAGAATTGTTCCATGATGTTTGTGTTTTGTAGAGATCTCATTTACACTAGGGCTGGGAACGAATAAGGAATTTGATGTTCGAATATTTGTTTTCCATATTCGAATATAATCGATTTTACAACTTTTGTTCCAATATTTCTCTTTGATGTATATGTATCCGAAATTGATTGCGTCGAATACTATACTACTTTAATATGAATGGAATAATCAACAATTAAAAAGACCTTTATAACTACGTCAAAGTTTTTTATTTTATTAATTGTAAATCGATATATATGTTAACTTGAAATAAATTCATAATTTGATTGTCTTTTGTTCAATTAATTCGACTGCTGATCATTTAACGGGAGGTATTTTACTCACGTGACTTGACTGACAGTGATAAGAATCATCGTAGCCTCTTAGCCCAAATAACTTATATTAAATATCTTTTATTTATTTATAATTTTAGATAAGGTTTAAAACATTCATAAGATAAATTTACTATAACACAGTAAATATCACACTGAGTCTAATTTCTACGGAATAAATATTTTCAGACGGAATATAGAGACTTCCCATGCTTTTACTTTTATTTCTGATTTTAATCAGTACTTTTAAGTTGAATAACGATAGCCTCCTATAAATCTGTGATAGATTGGCCATGTTTTTTATTGCTGTATTTTATGTTTTACTATGTAAAGATGAGATATAAATAAACAAATAAACTGAACTAAACTAAACTGCTTTCATTGCGCGCCGATTAATATGTGTCGATTTATTCTTCGTCACACAATTTAAGACAATTATTGATTGATCGGAGAGATTATAGCGCAGAAAACAATAAAGTTAGATATTTAAAATCAGAAAAAATTACATTATAAACTGTTAAACAGGTAAATTGCAAAAATTTTATACCTACCAAAAGTAAAATCAAAATAAGATCTCTTTCTTTTTCTACTTTACCTCTTTTTTCTGCTTAGTGATTTTTCTGGATTTTCTTCTAGATAAAGACTTGGTTCTTTTCCTACCCCTCCCACTCATACTCTGAAAGGAGGAATCATCTGTACTTGTACTAGTACTTACTGCTGAAATCAAAATGGAGAGACTAGCAATGTTTCAGTAAACATGGTTTTAAGTATTGTGTAAGAATTTTCTACAGGCCTACTAACCAATTTCATTGACAAAGGTATATATGAAATCAATAACAAAGGTATATGAAATCAATGACATTTTTTAGGTAAAGTGTACGCTTTTTGCCAGCAAATTACTATTGAAAAAAAAAATGTTAGGTAATCTTTATATGACAAAGAGACTCACATAGAAATAATGATCTTGGTAACAATTTTTTGATAATTGGAAAAATACCCCAATACACTGTAACTGAAATTTAAGATCCATTCAGAAAGAAGAATGAATTTTATAAAACTGCAATACCATTATAACATCTAAAGCATTAATTCTGAAAATGACCATTCTTATCATACAATATTCTATTTTCTTTTAAACTAATAACCAAGTGGTATGTAAGAAAAAAATCTTGTTATTTTAGGTCTCTTAGTATACATCCTTGACTTATAAGAACTGATTTCCTATGAAGTAATGAAGTATGATGTCCAGTGGCATATTATTATCTCATTCAATCTATGCCTCAGTTAATAAATGAAAAAATAAAGACAAGTAATTCTTTGAAATAATACCGGTACCTCTATGTTTCTTTTGTTTTTTATGCTTTGATTTTTCAGTTGGTCTTGGTTCAGCTACTAATAATGCACCACCTTTACCTGGTGTTGACAATCTAGCTTGGAAAACTGCAAGTATAGTAAATATTCTGTTAAAGATAAAGAACAGAATCTAAATTAAATACAACGATACAATAATGTCATAAATAACATCCAATTTATTGGAAAGGGAATTTTTTGTGTCCAGGACTATTATTCTATTTTACTCTTATGTCACGGAATCACTACAAATTATATTTCAGCACAGTAATTTTGTAACTCCAAATCATTCAGTAGGCAACACAATACTTAAAAAGATATGTTTGCAAAACGTGGCAACCAATTAGTCATTTGGCCAAGTTATTGTGACTGACTTTTGACCTAGTGACCAAAAATTCAATAGGGGTTATCTATTGGTCATTGTGACCTTAAAGGTTTTGTGCAGCAATTTTATGACAAAGTTATAACAAATCTCTTACCAAATAATAAATGCATAAATTTAATGAATCATGTAGGCCTCCTTAATTCCTTAATAACAGCAAATTTGTTATATTACATTAGACCTTGAAATGTGTATACCAAAAGCATTTTTAGTTTAATAAAAAATATCAACCAAGGCAACTTAAGTTGTTTAGTTATTGATCTGAAACTGTTTTTACGTACAAGGTCAACATGACTTTGACCTTTGACCCTTCAATCAATAGGGCTTATCTACTGGCCAAGACAAATGCACCTGTGAAGTTTGTAGGTAAGGGGCCCACGTATTGTTGATACAATTTGAGGGCCAAGTGGCCATGCGTTGTCAAGTTATTGATCGCAAACCGTTTTTACCTACAAGGTTGATATGCCAAACAAAGCTTGTGTTTTAGGTTATGTATGATTTGCGCACTTTATAAAGCTCTAAAAGCATTATTAATTGGATATGGGTGTGACTGGAATGTGCATGACAATGCTCTATAAAGTGCGTGATTTATACATAACCTAAAACACAAGCTTTGATTCAGGTTTTGGTTTGTTAAATTTATGTAAACAAATTGATTATGAGAAGTTTTAGCGCTCTCTTGCATTGGTGAGGTTCTATTGCATCTGCAAAGTTTATTTTGAAAATTAAATAAAAAATGCCGGATGAGAAGCATAGCATACCTGACAAGTAGAAATTTGAAGCCACTCGTCCTGCAGGATCCCTGCACGATTTCAAGGAAATTAATGGTGGTCATTCACAATTCAGAAAAGCAAGGACCTCTTTACACTTATGGGGAAAAAAACTTTAAATTCCGTAAAAAAAAATCTATTTCTATCATTTCAAGTTTCTTTCCATTTTTTTATTCCATTAACAACCCTTAGAAATCAAATTCATATTTTCATAAATCATGTTGTTTAAAAAGCAACAAAACAGCTCACAATATATTTTTAAACCCGAGCACCATTGCAGTGTTAACATTTGCAGCAATTCTGAAAAAATCTAGGTAAAAAAGGGGCATAACTCAAAATATAGATTTTAGAATTGTGCCCCTTGTCAAACAACTGCACAATGTCATGATAAGCAAGCATTCAAAGTTTCATGTACATAATTTTTAAATGTTTGAATAATTGGCTACATTAACATCATAATCATAATAGCTCTACTTTTTCTTCAAAATGAAATGAAAATATAGATATACCTTTGAGAATACTGTCCCGAATCTTTTTCTGTTCCTCTTCTTCTGACACTCTGGTACGCTTTTTTCTATCTCGTGAACTTCTACCCATTGAACATGATTTCATTAAACACTGGAAATAATTGTTGTACATTGTTTATATATTTTTGAAATCATGGCATCATTTTATAATTCATGTGATACAATAGCATAGTAAGGATAAAAGAAAATGTGTACTTAATGTGACAACCTCTTAAGGAAGGCACTGTGTATAGCAATAACCTCATTATAACATCAGTAGCAAGGTTAATACGGCAGAGTATGGCAAGAAGGTGATAATCAGCCCCCTAAATGAATAATGGCCTCACAAGGGCTTTAGATGATCATGGTTTTGTATTTGTATGTTATAGTGTGTACAGTATACAACCATTGGCACATGAAAGACCTTAGGTTAATCCAGCTTGCTGAAAGAGTTTAACCATAATACCAACTTCCAAAACACATAAATGGGACATAACTGCAAAACTTTCTCAGCTTTGACTTGGTAATGCACGAGTCAATTGTTACTTCTGTTTGTCCACCCCTTGGGAATAACAAAGACTTTGCCATTGTACTTTTAAATCTCTAGTAAATGCTTTGCCCTGCAGAGACTGTCAGATGAAAAACTCCCTGCTAAAATCCTGCATGGCACTGTGTTTTGGACATATCCACCAGGTCAACTTGGTATAAAAAACACAGCCATGCCAGGTCAATACAGGGATAGATGAAAGGTCAGTGATTATTTAAACAATTAAAATGTTACATACTTTTGTATGTGATATCGGTATGATTGCATCGGCTAACAGTCATGTGATAAATGCCCATTCATTTTTTATTTATTTTTTTTTTGGGGGGGGGGGGGGGTGTAATTCATGAGTTATACATGTTTAAGCATTTGTTACAAAAGAATTATTTCACAGTATATCAATAGAACTACAAAATTCTCTGAAGTCCAATTTGCAGTAAATGCAAAACCCCAAGTCTTAACTATGCCACATGCATCAATTGCAAACTGTATGCAAAACTTCCAAAACTAAAGTCTATAACTCTGCCTATAATCAGGTAGTCCTTGCACAGACTTCCCGAAATACGTCGGTCCGACGGACATGTCCGATAAATTTTGATCAGGTCCGACGAGTTTTTATTCCGGATCGGTCCGACTGTCCGGCTTGTATCCAAGCCGCATGTATACAAAATGGCGTCGCTAAAGGTGCCAAACCTTATCTACGTCAGAGGAACGCGCAGAACAGTAGTAAAAGGATAAAAAGAATAGACCTGAGACAAAATTTAATGAAAATTAGAAGCAAGACAGTGAATCGTTGGTGTATGATAGGGAGGAGATGAAAATGCGCTGTAAGGAAAGTGCCGATTTTTACGGCAAAAAAATTAAAAACAAAAAGTGTCTTAGAAATACAAACACACGTTATTCTTTGATTTTGATCAATTTTATTTGGTCCGACAGATTTCGTTTCGGTCCGACAGATTTTCATGGTTTGTCAGACCGAATGTCTGACAGTTTTTTTCAACTTTCGGGAAGTCTGCTTGCATTGATTTCATACAATTAATATTCAATTAAATTGCACTTTTCATGCAGTTTTTAATAAATCTGAAACAAATTATATATAACAAGCTACAGACAATTTCTTTTCTATTAAAAAACTCCATGTAGTGGGAAATTTCTACTTTCTAAAAAAAAAAAGATCCTGCGGGTCTATTCCAGAATAATGCCCCTCACTTCATGAATGGATACAATATGACAGATTCCTGGTGAATTTTCCCTTAAACGTACCAATCCTATCACCGTATAAAAACAGGTAAACATCAGGACCTTAAGCTATGCAAACCAAATTTAGAGATAAATGTAATCAAAATCGCTGAGAGTTTTGCTAAAGGAACTTAAGAAGGAGTTGATATCACGTTGGAGTGTGCATAGTACTAACAGAAACACGATAAGGGTCTTTCAAATAGAATGGTCAGGTGTCGAACCAATTTTACGAAAAAAGATGTCTCGGTTCAGTCATGTGATTAGTCAGTTTTTACTTTAAAAAGTAACAATATCATAGATTTGCTATGAAATTAGGATTGTTTTTTCCCGGTGTCAAGGTAAAAATCTATCGCACATATTTGAAAATAGGGAGTTTCAGAAGTTTTTTTAAATTTATGCATATTATAGTTCAATGACAAATTTAATTGTATCATGTAAAAATTTTATAAAATTTCACGATGTTCAGGGCCAAATCACCAAAATGGGTCTCAACTTTAACACAAACTTTTAACAAGTTCTTCAAAATAGAAAAGCAAATAGCACTGGGAAATACTAATTAGGAAGTAAAAGACCTTAATTCAACATCATTTAATTTTGTTCTAAATTCTATGGGAAATTTCAAAAGACAGGGGAATTTTGAGGACCAAACTGGGGGAAAAAGAGGCTATTTTGGTTGGGGAAGCAGCCTATATTTGGCCTCTACAAAGAAGGGTTTTTTGGCCCTGATGTTATTTACAAATATTTGATGTTTAATTTGGTGCATTTTCAAAATGTTACCGTTCATTGGCAAATATTTTGAACAAGCAATCTTCTATTTTTCAACAAATATGGCTTTAAAAACATTTTTTTTCCCTAAAATATTTATATTTTTTTCAAAAATTAAAAGATTTTTAAAGAACATCATGTTGTTAAAATTTTCATTTTTGCTCCTGTATTTAATTATTGGCCTTTTCATGAACACTTACATAATTTGCGTATACTATACTGAGTTCTGCCAAGACATGTTTAATTGTTATGAGGTGGGTTTACATAGCGTGTTGACAGACCATTCTATTTGAAAGACCCTGATAGGACTAACTCCAACTCGGGTTTATCAACGCAACTCTATATCACGGTTCAGAACTGTTGATGATGATGTGTAAGCAGCAGAATCGCTCAGTCGGTAGAGCCGCGGTATGGTATTCCGAGGGTCCTGGGTTCAAGTCCAGGTCAGACTGCACATTTTTCTCACCCTTTGACATTTGGCCCCAACAGGGGACCGTGACTATACATAGCTAAGAGTTAATTCATATCGCTCTGTAACTCTGTGAAATCGAGGACAAATTTCAATATAGCAGAACTGTTCACTATTTAGGGGAGATGATGTGTAAGCGGTCGGATAGCTCAGTGGGTAATGCCGCATTACAGTATTCCGGGGGTACTGGGTTCGAGTCCTTGTCAGGTTGCACATTTTTCTCACCCTGTGAGACGTACTTCAGAATTTTATCATGTGCGGTCATGCAGTGTGACCTGCTTCACATAAAATATTAATTGTCAAATTCACAAATGAAATTTAATGAAGACATATAGGAAATGTTAAGTATGTCAATAATACAGTGTCCCATGCTAACACCAACAGGAGAATATGATTATGAGAGCTGATTTCGCAGTTGTACAAAAGATTTTTTATGTAGAATCTATTGTTAATTCAAATAAATGTCACATTCAAATCTGATAACTAAATAAAGGTTGGTCTGGACGATTTGTAAAATATTAAATTGAAAGATTCCTTACATGCGCCTGAGAATGAGATTTGTGTGAGCTTTTTTGTCTGTTTATTTATTATTTTTTTTTTAATAGATTTCTAATTCTAAATCTCTGAATTAAAAACCAAACATAAATATGATAAAACAATAATTGGTTTTCCATTTAACAATTAAGATATATGCACAATGCCTTTTATTCTTACTGATTAATGGACAGAGATGGTTTTCCTGACGGTGAAGTCACAAAATTCGTCTGTATTCTCGGTTTGCAATAACTACGAAACTAACGCTGTTTTTAATGGGTATGAAATATGTATCAGACGTTGCTTTTTGATCTTGAATGAACGTGAAGCACATGTTTTAAATTCGCTATGACGAAAAATATTGTAAGATTTGTTAGTTCTTTAAAAAAAATATATTCGTAACTATAAATCAATATCAAAATCAGGGTGGAGGCTATAAGACATCCCTTTCCTGGAGTAAGGCGGAGTTTACTATTATAAGCGTTTTTTTAGCGCGAATGTTAAAGAGCGTCTGAGTGAACGCTGCTATAGTGAATGGAAAAGGACGTAAATATGCGAAATGTACTTTTATTTCTCCATCAGTTTTTATTTTAATATAGAAAATTAATTATATCGCAATATTAGATCTACGTTGAATTGAAGTTATGTTTTCAAAGCAACTTATAGCATCACGAAACTATATGTGCGTGTCTCTACTGTATATTATAACGCTAATAATTGTGAAATTGTATACTTTTAGTTGCTTTGTATATTTATGCACTTACAAAACACATTATGTTATGACTATTACTAAGTGAATTTACATAAATTGTCGTCATTTGAGGTGAAGGCAACCCAATTTTTTTAAAGGGTTCAATCAATTACACCAATAAATAGTTTGTCTTGGGTAAAATAAAGACGACAACCCGTGTATGGTGGTCTCCTGCCACAGTACCTAAATAAAGTGCAATCTAAACTTGAGATGTACATGCTTCCGAATGTATCACCAATAATAAGTAATTGTAGGTAATCAATTACACCCCTAACGCATGTTACCTGTAATAATTAAACATGAAAAACAGTTCGCCCATAATCTGATAGAGTATAATTATATATCAATGACGACAACCAATATATGGAGGTTTATCTTTTTATACCCTTATACGATCATATAAAGTGTATAGCCTACCGGGTTAGACTGTAAACTGAATGATTTATCCCTAGAAAAGTGCATTGTTAAATGCAATTCTGACAGCCAGTATCTGGATGTAGACAATTAAGTTTAATGTCTGAATGTAAAACCATGTACTTTACTTGTATATTAACTTCTTTTATTCTATGACGTGTATAGCCATTATATGAACCTTCTTTTTTACAAATAATGCAAGTTTAGGAATAGTGAACTTTTGATTCATAAATGAGGTTATGAAAATATTGACAATTATGTTAACAACCAATATACGGATGTAAGGTCTGCGGGTTAAAAATTTTAAAATCTACATGTATATACATTTACTTTACAATCTTCTGGTATAACATGTACTTAATAAGCTAAGATTACGTTAAGAACATGTAAATTTGGGTAAAAGAACAACCCGCTTTTGGAGGTCAACTGCCCTGATGCCTGACTGAAGTGCAGTACATAATTTAAGCTACAGTCTCACTTACATCCCGGCAAAGCCCCGGTAGACGTACAGGTGATCTGGGAACGGCCGGAATACATCCATAACTCTGCCATGGCAGCAACGTCCCGGATGATCCTGGTACATCTGGCATTCGACCCCGGAAATAAAAAAATATTTAATATCACCGGGGTGGTCCTTGATAACCCGGGGAGTATAGCTTAATTTGCCCTGCTGGAAACGACCGGGGTTACACCGGGGAAGCACCATAGCTCTGTCGGCAAAAACCGGGTATGATCCGGGGTATGATATAGCCGGTAGAGCTACGTACGGCAGAGCCCTTGTGAATGCTGGCAGAGCCCGGAGAATGCCAGCAGAGCCTCGGAGAATGCAGTCAGAGCCCCGGAGGATGACGATGGAGCTAAGGTTGATCCCGGTAGAGCCCCGATAAAGTCCGGTTTGATTCCAAAAGAACCACGACAATTTGCGATGATTGCACTTGTTTGTTTACCCTTCCCATTTCCATTCTATCCAGTCTTGCGTAAGGATTTTTCAGAAAATCATTATGCATTACTGTTCTTTATATTAAATAAAATTATGTATTGATCAATGTAATCATGTAATCATGTTCTCGCGCGTTTTCAATCCACTGGGATTCTAGCTTAGGGGGCTCTGCCTGGATCGTCCTGGGCTCTGCCTGGATCGACCGGGGATCTGCATTGGTCAATCTAGGCTCTTCCAGCGTATAGGCTACCGGGTCAGACTGTAAACTGATTAATTGATGTATCACTAGAAAAGTGCATTGTTTAATGCAATTCTGACAGCCAGTATCTGGATGTGGATAAATCTTATGATCATGTATATTCACTTTATTTATTCTATTACGTGTTTAGCCATTTTATATAATAATGCAAACAAGGGCAAGTTTATGAATAGCGAACTTTTGAATTCATAAAATGAGGTTGTGAAAACAATTTGGGTAAAAGGACAACCCGCTTTTGGAGGTCAACTGCTTCGATGCCTGACTGAAGTGCAATACATAACTTACATTTACATGTACTTGCTTTGGAAAAGGAGTGTTTATTACAACTAACACTGCATAAATTGGCTTGAATGTGGTTTGAATCGGTTAATAAGCATAAGATGGGGGTAGGGGGGGGGGGGGGGGGAATAAATGAAAACTTGTGGATTGAATCCATGGTTTATCCATAGACAAGTGTTTATGTCGGCATTTTAATGTCTCAATTTTCCCTTAATGTGTACTTCTTAAGACGGAAGAAGAAAACTGGAAAATACCGTTTAAAATCTAAATCAATATAATACTTGAACTATGTTGGTTTTCATCAGCAATGTCGACATGTGTGTGTGTGTGTGTGCGTGTGTGCGTGCGCGCGTGTGTGTGTTGGTGTGTGTGCGCGTGTGTGTGTGTGAGTATCGTTTTTACTTTCAATGAATTTAAATACGTCCAATTGTAGACATTGCAGATTTTTAGATTACTAGGGAAAGTCATATGGAAACAATGACAACAAGCAAATGGATGTATGGTTGTGTTTTTGTATATAAAATCTTCTTGTATATATGTGCTTTATGAAATAAGATTACTAAAAGGACACGTTTGTAAAGATCCAATCATATACAACAACAATTATATATTTGAACGACAACCCACTTTTGGAGGTCACCTCCTTCGGTGCCCGACTGAAGGCGATATATACGTACAGCATTTAGAGGTTATAACTTACACTGCTTAAACCTGCTTGAATCTCGTTTGAATGCGTTAATAAACATGAATGTAAAATAATAAGTTAGGAACTGATAGGGTTTATGAATGACGACAATAATTATTATCTACCTACATTTACTGAAGATTTTTTATGACATGCAACTACATTAATAGCAGGTATAAATGTATCCAGTCAAATACAATAAATATAAATTTGCTTGGGTAAATCACACATGACGATAACCCATGTAAGGAGGTCACTTGCTTCAGTGCCTGAATAAAAGTCTCTGAATAAAGTGCTGAACGTGTTGTCATATTTAATAAACAATAATTTAGGTTATCCCTTATACTGCCTAAATTGTTTCGAATGCCTTTTGATGTACCTGCAAGGTTTAGTGTATACTACCTTAAACGACAAACAATATATGGACGTCAACTTCCTTTTCTAATAATGAAATAAATATACCGTGTAATATAATGAAATCCGGTTGATAGAAGCAATGGTTTATCCGTAGAAAAAAAAACTTCAAATAATTGTATTGCCAAAGGCTTTGGTGACAAACCGCATCTAGATGTCTGATTTTCCTAAAATGTATACATATGTACGACTTAAAACGGAGGAAGATGAAAACTGGAAAAAAAAAACGTTTAAAATTGATATCAATGTAAGACATGAACTATGTTGGCTTGAAACATCAATGACGATATGTATAAACATGCAAATTTTCAAATATCTGGTGAATATGGGTCTGAAAAACAATATATGTATGACAGTATGTGTATATGTATGTTGTTTTTTTTTTGTAAAACAAAGACTACAACCCATGTTTGGTGGTCAGCTGCTTTAGTGCTTGAATAAAGTGCATTCACTTGTACTGCCTAAATCGGCTTATGTCTTAAATGCCTCTTTCACCAATACTCAATTAACAAAGAACGTAGCAGAATTCTTACAAAAAAGATGGTGTCAAGAACTCACGACAACCAATATATGGAGGCATAGATTTAGCTCCATGATGGAGGTGTTTTTTACCGCTTGTTCATCTTCATATAAAACGGTGCTTTAAAATCATTGAGTTTCTTCATTAAGCATGCTCGTTGTCTGGAAAAGTTTAAAAACAAACATCACGGTGCATATCCATATCGGCACCCTCTTTGCAAAATCTGCTCAAACGGTACCCTCTCTGAACATACACAGGTCATTCTCTGCTAAAAACAAACCAGCGATGGATAACAATCCAGTAAAATTTCATTGTAATAAGGAAAGGAGGTATGACATGTAGAAAAGATGTATACCACGGAACACTAGAATGTTTTAATTATGTGCTGATTTGTCATGTGCCCGATTTTCATGTTCACAACTTCACAATAAGCTACAAAAAATCGACATGTCTTGTCTCGTCCATCACCTCGACATGTATTGTTCGGGCTGAAATGAACCTGTGGCTTGATTATATATGCATCATACATATTTAATATGTTCATATTCATATCATCTTCCGACAAATGGCAGTATATAATAATTGTCAAAAATAAATGAAAAATTCATAAAAACACCCTACTTTCGGTTTTGCAGCGGCACGGGCTACCTGTCTTCATTTGAATTTTTACGTCACAAGTACCCTCTCATTTTTTAACACATAGGTACCCTCAAAACAAAAACAACTTATTTCATGCTTTACAGTGTTTTACTATAATATATTAGATGATTATATTCTGATAAACCACTAGTGAAATTTAAACAAGAAGGCCATGATGGCCCTGAAGTCGCTCATCTGTACATAGGTCCCAGGGCGGTGCCAGTTTAAATCTCTTGGTTTTTATTTGAAAAAACTTGGAAGACACTCACTAGAAGATGTTTCATGCCAAATATCTAAGCTCTAGCTCTTTGGGGTTTTTTTTAAAAGAAGATATTTAAAGTTTTTTCTTTCGGTTGCCA